TGCTCTTGCAGAGGACCCAGGATCAGTTCCCAGCACCCACACGGTGGCTCGCAAGCTCCTGTAACTCCAGCTGCAGAGCACCCACCACCCTCTAATGGCCTCTGCAGGTATGTGCACACATGCATATACACAGACATACACATACACGACACATACATGAAATCTTGAAAAATGATTAAAAACAAATCTTGAAAAATGCGTCATCATATTATGACAAGCTAGATGTTTTGAGTCAGAATAAACATTTGAAAAAGTCTGTTTTATGACTCCCTGGTTTAATTAACTTTTAATGCCTTGACCAAAACCAGTTCCAATTTCACTGGACAGAAATGTACACACTGAGAAAATAAAAGGCTGACCACTCTCCTGAGTCTAAAACCTTAGTGATACATGAAATTAATGAATTCTAGCCATCTGATCTTTCTAAGCCTCGTGTGTCAAATAAATGTTATTTTCCAAGGTATCAAACTAGGGGCTGGAATTAAAGCCTACTGGTAGAATGCGTGCTTACCATACACAAGGCCCCACATCCAATCCCCAGAACACACAAAAAAATAAATAAATAATTACCCAAAAGCAATATCCAGCCAAAGTGGACTTCAGCCTTGCTTCAATCCAACATTTATCTTTTTGCTTGTTCGTTTGAGACCAGGTTTCTCTATGTAGCCCTGACTGGCCTGAAACTCACTATGTAAACCAGGTTCTCCACAAACTCTCAGAGACACACTTGCCTCAGCTCCCCAAGTGCTGGGATTAAGGGTGTACACCACTATGCTCAGCTTCAAGCCAACATTTATCCGAATTTCACATTTTTTAACCCCCTCAGATGACTGAAAAAAGTTCTGAAGTCAATGTGAAGCATACAAGTCCCCAAAGGAAACAACCCAACCCTTCCTAATTGTCAAAATACTTGTTTATTTTATGTGTCTGTGTGTGCACCTGAGTGTGTGTGTGCACACTTGTGCAGGAGCCTACTGAGGTCAGAAGAAGGCACCAAATCCCTTGGGGCTGAAGTTACACGCTGCTGCGAGACTTCCTGTGGGTGTGGGGAACAGACCCCAGGTCTTCTGCAAGAACAGCAAGTATCAATAACCACTGGCCTTCTCTCCACCTCCTCCCAACTTGCATCAAGTGGATCTTTGAATATTAATAATTCAGAAGCCAGAGGAGGGGAGCCCAGCCACTTTGGATGAGGCTATAAATAAACAGGCACTCGGCAAAAGTTGAGCACATCCTGGAGCCCGTTCTAACACAATGTGTTTCCCTGGAACCCTCACTCAGACCCCAGTGGCTTACACCCAAATTCACTGTCTTGTGATGACGGTACCAGTCAGCCACCCATACACTCCTGAGCGAAGCCCTTGAGTCCCAGGATGTGCCTAAGGCAACGCCTCCATACATTGAGAAGTCTGTGAAGGATTTCCCTTCCCAGCCTCAAGTGTGTGCTTGCTCGCTTCCCTTCCCCGATTCTCCTACCTCCCTAGCATCCTCCTCCTACTTCCCCAGCAAATCAAATGGGCAGACACTGCCTCCAGCCATCAAAGAATCTAGGTGCTTCCATCGTTACCACAGACAAGAAGCTGCTCCGTCAGCTGTGGAATTGTCTGAACCAGTATGTGTCAACTACCTTCAGGGACTCCACAAAATTGTCTTCCGACCTTCACACTGGTGCCATGACACATGTGTGGCCCCTCCATAAGAATCATTCACAAAAATAGTGACAACTTACTATATTTTTAAAGAACATATTGTTTTTAACTGTGAGAGATGAGAGAGAGAGAAAGAGAGAGAGAGAGAGAGACTATGTGCACATGAGCATAGTGTCCAAGGGAAACAGAAAGGTTGTAAACTATCCTGTAGCGGGAGTTGCAGGTGATGAGGGTCCCAAGAACTGGCTTGAGACCTCTAGAAGAACAGTACATGCTCGTAACCATGGAGCCAACTCTATAGTCCCCAGCAACATACTATCTTCAAAAAGAAAAAGAAAAGAAAGAAAGCAGTCCTTACAAAACTATAAAATTTCTAAAATCACTATAAGATGTGGCGGGGGTTGGGAGAGAGGGTAGCTTCATTACATACTTCTCAAGCATGAACTTTGTAGACATTAGCGATGGGCTGCAATGTCAGAAAGTTTAGGCAGCCATGTAACCGGAAGCTCCCATTTTCAGCCCACAGCCACTGTCCAGATAGAAGAGGACGCTGTAAGGGTCTCCCACCTAGGCAAAATGAGCAACGTTCTAGCCTTCCCTACATTCCTAGACTTGAGTCTTGTTTTATTTTGTTTTGAGACAAGGTCTCACTGTGTAGTTCAGGCTGGCCTATAACTCGCAGAGATTGGGCTGCCTGGGTCCCCCGAGTGCTGGGGTCGAAGGAGTACATCACCACATCTAGCCTTGTTCCTCATTTGCCTCAGAAGTCTCACAGCGATGTGGCTCATGAGGATCTGGGACCGTGTGACACCAAAAAGAATGGGCCCTTTGCTGGGCCGCGTGGACATGTTTGTATGCCCTGCTCAGGGCAGGCTGCTCAAAGGAAACCCCAAGAGAAAAGCTAAGGTGGCACAGCGAGGCCCTGACCTGGGCTTGGAGATGGAACTCTGTAACTCTCTCTCTCTCTCTCTCTCTCGGCTCGGTTATGAACCATTCCATCTAAATATCTGGATGTAGGCTAGGCACCTCTTGCTCCACAGATCTCAAAACATCCTGGGTCAAAACACTCCATATGGTCAGCTCAAGAATAGTCAAGTCTGGAGCTAAAGAGTGACTCAGTGGTTAAAAGCACTGACTGCCCTTCCAGAGGACCTGGGTTCAATTCCCAGCACCCACATGGGGGCTCACAACCATCTGTAACTCCAGTCTCTGGGAATTTTGATGACAATCACTGGACACACAGGTTGCATAGACATACATTCAAACAAACACTCAGACACATCAAACAAAAATAAATAAAATTTTTAAAAAATTGAATAGGCCAGGCAATGGTGGTGCACACCTTTAATCCCAGCACTCAGGGGCAGAGACAGGCAGATCTCTGTGAGCTCGAGGCTTGCCTAGTCTACAGATTGAGTTCTATTACAGCCAGGACTGTTTCAAAGAGAAACCCTGTCTCAAAAAAAAAAAAAAAAAAGTCAAGCTTAGTAGGTGAAGTATTTGTTATTCAAGCTACTAAATTCAATCTCCAAAATCCACATGGTGGAAAGAAAATAAACTGATTCCTGCGTGTTGTCCTCTGACCACCCATTCAAATAAACTAATAAATGTAACTTTACAAATAGAACAAAATAGGGCTGGAGAGATGGCTCAGCAGTTAAGAGCACTGGCTGCTCTTGCAGAGATCATGAGTCAGCTTCCCAGCAACCACATGGAGGTTCACAACCGTCTAATGGGATCTGATGCTATCTTCTGGCATTCAGGTACACATGCAGATAGAACACTCATACACATAAATAAATAAATCTTAAAAAATAAAACAAAATAAAAAAATACTCCTTGGATCAGACAGTTTCCCCAGGATGGATCAGAATAGCTCTTTAGAGTGAAGGACGCCCTCTCTGGAGCAGTGAATGAAGGTTCTCTGTACCAGGGTCACCAAGATCACGTACCCAGGTCCACTTCCAGTGTCCACAGCTGTTAATAGTCAGATAACCTCAGGACAGTCCAATAACGGCCACAGAGGAAGTAGGTCACTTCCTCTAGTGGGAGGGGCTTCTGAAGTAGGGCCTAGCTAGAGGAAATGGATCACTGCGCATGAGTTTCTTAGCCAGGGCCCATTTCCTGTCTTCTCCCTGATTTTTTGACCATTGATACACTATGAGCAACTGCCCCATCCTCCTGACACCATGCCTCCCCAGCCCTAATGGCTATCTCCCCTCAAGCTGTAAACCAAAATAAAGCGTTCTTCCCTATTTGGCCCCAGCATTGAGAAATAAAATAGGGCAATGAGACAGAGAGGAACTGGGGAAAAGTGGGGGCTACTGCCCATAAAGGGGGAGGGGGTCAGGATGTTATGATGAAAGGGGGCTATTTAAAAATCTGCAGGAGGAACATTCCAGAAAGAGGAGATAGCAAGAACCAGGCCCTGAGAAAGGCACAGTATTAATTAGTGAGCTTCCCATTGCACTGATAAAATAATTTAGAAGGAAGGTAGAGTTGCTTGTGGTTTTAATCCACAGCTGTCTGGCTCCTTCACCTTGTGCCTGTCGCCGGACAGAACACCCTGATGGGGTGCACATGGTAGAGAAAAGCGACTCACTTCACAGGGGCTAGGAAACAGAAAGAGAGGAGAGGCCAGGGTTCCCACGGTCCCTTCAAGCGTTGCCTCCCAGTGACGTCACTTCCTCCCACTAAGCCCCGCCTCCTGGGGGCTGAAGGTCGCATTGACTCCCAGTAGCACCACAGGCTGGGGATCAAGCCTTTAGCACCTAGTCCTTGGGAGACATTTCAGATCCAAACTGTAGCATCTGGTAAGGAAAGAAGAGAGGCTGGAGTGGGTTGGATAGAACAGAATGGTGAAGTGAACGGAGATGGGATTCATTAGGCAAGCAGAGGCCCATGGGTTCCCTGGGGCCTCAAAGGCAGACGAAGGAGTCGTGGAGCTCATAAGGTGGGAGCCATCAGCTCTAAGCTTTGAACAAACTACTCTGGCTACGGGGAAGAAAGCTAACTTGGACAGAGAAGGAAAAGACAATGAGCAGAGATGAGATGGTTGTTTGGAGTCGGCTGCAAGACCATGAAACCAAGGATGTATTCTGAGGAGAGCAATGCTAGAACCCCAGGGGCTTAATTTAACACAATGCGATTTAGTTGGGCCCGGTGGCCCACGCCTTTAATCCCAGCACTTGGGAGGCAGAAGCAGGTGGATCTCTATGGGTTGGAGGCCAACCTGGTCTACATAGTGACTAAAATAGTCTATAAAGTTCCAGGACGGCAAGGGCGATATAGAGAGAGCCTATCTCAAATAAATAAATAAATAAATAAATAAATAAATGGTAAACAAATAAATAAAAAGCAACAAAGTTTATTATTTTACATTTCTGAAAACCAGCAGTACAGGCAATTCCAGACTCAAATTCAGCTCAGGCCTAACTCCTCTTGGAGGTCTAACTCCCATTGGAGGTCTCACCCAAGAGACAATTTGATATTTGCCTTCCTTGGGTCTTTGTTCTTCCTGCATCCCTTGTGTTCTGTTCCTGTCATGAATTTTTTCTTTTCTCTTTCTCACTCTCTCTCTTTTTTTTTCTTGCTCTATTCCTCCTTAGAGGAACCCTTGTGATCTTATTTTGGGCCTACCTGGATAATATAAAATCATCTCAAAATCCTAACTTAAGCAAAATGCACCTGTGTCTCTCAGTGTATAAGAATTCACAGATTATGGGCATTAGGATGAAAATGTCTTTGGGGGCCATATGATAAACAATAAATAGAGGTTAATTGCTATTATTCCTATTGTTATCACTGTTATGATTTACACAGCATCCCTGCAGCAGCCTCCCCGTGCACCTTCCAAGGTACCTTGACTATAAGAGGAGACAGAGAAAGACACTGGGTTCCCTGGAGTCCCGAGGCTGGGCTCCAGGCTTGAGGTAGAGCTGACGGCCATGAGGGCTGAGTGGGCGGAGCTAATGGCCATGAGGGCTGAATGGGCAGGGCTCACGGCCATGAGGGCTGAATGGGCAGAGCTCAAGCCACCCCTTAGGCCTGGCAAGGAAGCAGGCACGGAGGCAGAAGTGCTGGGACCTGCTCCCAGGCCTTCTTCAGGGACCAAGATCAAGGCATGGCCACAGCCTAGGGCCTCTTGATGCTGCTATATTGTGTGGACTCCTCAAGGCTGGAGCTGGGAAGGCGGGTGACGAGGGAGCCAGTGTTGTTGTAAATGGGCTCCTGACCCAAGGCCACCAGAGACAGAGCTGCGTAGGAAATCTCCTCCCTGGGAAAGGGAGCCTGGGATACAGAGGATCACAAGGTCAGAAAGGCTGGGGGTGGGGGGAGCAGTGACCACCCAATGAGACAAGAAAGTCCTCAGAAGAGGTAGGTCAGGGCTCCAGTTTCCCTCCATTCTGTCAGGAACCCCAAATAACCTTCACGCTACACAAGAGAGTCCCACCTCTGCCCCCAGGACATCCACTTCCTACAGGATCCCAAGTCACTTGGCCAGTGTGGCTCTTCCCTGTCTAGTGTTAGGACCACATTAGACAGGCCCAAGTCTGCAGGGTTGAGAGGTGGTGTGGAAACCCTTCTGAAACCTATTAGATCTGCTCAGACCCCACCCTCACCAGCTGTGTCCACATGGGCACAGAGTACACTCTCCAAGGGGGTGGGGCAGTGAGAACCTCACATCTCCGCGGGCCCCATGAAAGACATACCATGGTGACATATTCCACTTCCTCTTGGTGGGCCTCGCCAGAGGAGGCCATGGAGGAACCTTTTTTATGAGAGGAGGGTCTGGGCTGCTGAAGGGACAGGTTTGCATAACAGAGGTCACCCTCCAGAGACGGCGACACCTGGGGTTGGGGACACAGGATGTACACATTTGCAGAATCAGCCTGCTGAAACAGGTTTTACTTTTGCAGAGGGACATGGGCCTCTCTGCTTTCCTGTACCCACCCCCTCCTAGCTCCTTATGCTCCCCATCCTCCCCATTATCTACCCAGGCCCCCTCCCTTCTGACTGTTTCTGGGGCCCCCCCCCCCCCCCCCCCCCCGCCAGCCTGTAGGGACCAGAAGTCTGTATGTGACTTATCTGATGCATTTGGACATAGAAGCTTCCAGGGGGTAGAAAATAAGGAAAGAGGAAAAGAAGCTGTTGCTCCCTGATGTCTGGACTCTGGGTTGCTTACCTGCTCTGAGTGTGGCCCAGCAGCTAAAAGGAAAAAAAAAATCTGAAATTAGAAAACCTATCCTTGAGACTTGCAAGGCTCGTTTTGTTTTGTTTTGTTTTGTTTTTCCCAAGACAGCTGTCCTGGAAATAGCTCTTGTAGACCAGGCTGGCCTCGAACTGCCAGCCTCTGCCTCCTAAGTGCTGGGATTAAAGGCCTGCGCCACCACTGCCCGGCTATGACTTGCAAGGTTCTTTTGCGCAAAGAAGAAAAATAGGGTGGGGCGGGCAGAGCAGGTTGGGGCAGGGCAGAGCACAAGCAAGGACTAGCTCAGAGACAGGAGGTCTGGTTCCAGATTCTGACCCTTTGGGAGGCACACTCTGTGACACTGTTCATCTCAAGCATGAGATGATCATTAGAAAAAGAGACCTTAACCTACCTGTCCCCAACTTCACAGAACTGTGCAAATGGCTGATGGCGTGGCCTTGCCAACTCTCCTAGAGCTGAGATTCTCCCTGCAGGATCCTGGGTTTCATTCGTAACTTTGCTTGTTATCGCCATCATTCTGCCACCTTCAAGGTCACTTCAAGGTCACACCTGTCGTTGCTAGCAACTGGTTCATCTGGTCCTTTCTCCCATGACACTTGTCCGTCCCACTACCTTCATCTAATGCTGGATTCTAGTTCATCTTCAGCCAGGCTCTGAGCCACAGGGTGGCTGGGCCTGCCCCTTACAGATGCTTGGCTGTACCTGACAGCTGAGCGTTTTGCCCCCAGCTTGATGCCTGAGCTAAGTCAGCATGGCGTGGACACAGCTTTTGGGGAGAAGTGGGGAAAAGAGAGACTGCTCGATTTTATAAATGTTTTTCTACCCTTGGCATTTCTCCCTGTCTACATCCCACCCCTTGCTCTTGGAGACAAAAAGAGAAACAAAGGATTACCCCATTTTTGGTATCAAACGACCTGACGCCTAGGAATAGAGAGAATATTTAAACTTGGGTCTCAGTCAATCTATTTGGGAGCAGAAGGGATGAATAAGACCAGGGTCTTGGGGCCAGCAAGATGACTAAGTGAGGAAAGGTACTTGCCATTGAACCTGACAGTCTGAGTTGAATTCTCAGATCCCATAGAGTAGAGGGAGAAAACCAACTCCCAAAGTTGTCCTCTGATCTCTACATGTGTGCTATGGTATACATATGTGGGTGTATAAATGTACACACACACACATATATACCTACATAGACAATTTAAAATCATTATTGTATTATTATTTTATTATTATTTTAAAGAACCTAGTCTAGACAGGCATGATGGTGCACTCCCTTAATCTCAGCACTCACGAGGCAGAGGCTGGTGGATCTCTGTGAATTTAAGGTCAGCCTGGTCTACATAGTAAGCTCCAGGACAGCCTGTGCTACATAGTGAGACCCTGCCTTTTTGCTTGTTTGCTTGCTTGTTTGTTTGTTTGTTGAAACAGGGTTTCACTGTGCAGTTCTGGCACTCATTCTGTCTTGAAACGAACACAAAAACCTAGTCTGTCTTCTGAGAGTGTAAGTCTCCTAGGCTCAGCATGGGGATGGAGTAGGGGAGATGTGAGATGGGGTAGGAGTGGGGGTGGGTGGTCCCTGGGCATTCTGAGAAACTTTCTACAACTTCTTGAGAATGTAGAAGTGAAGCCAGACAGGAAAGGGCTTGGTTGAGGCCAGACCTTGTGATCTGAGAGACCTTGTGATTCTGAGAGAAGGTGGGGGGAGGCTCTTCCTGAAAAGCAGGGGCACCTAGAATGAGTAGGTCAGCCTGAGAAGAGGCTGATGGGCAAGGGACAAGCAGAAGCTGGGATCACATTGATTCTGTTGCCTGGAAACCCATACTTGCGTATGTATGAATAGGGCACACATACACGGATACTGTGTGTGTGTGTGTGTGTGTGTGTGTGTGTGTGTGTGTGTGTGTCTTTCTTCTCCCATGTGAGCTTGGCACCTCCTTCACAACCACATTTCCCTAGAGTGGACTGCCCTCCTAAAGTCACTGCAACTTCTGCCACCTTGACCCAAACTAGGAAACAGGAAAGAAGGCAGATCAGAGAGGAGCAAGGGTGTGCAGAACAGGAAGCTGACCCAAATCTTCCCAGGGAAGTTCAAGCTTCAGATGGCCTCCAGCCTCTTGGATGGCTAGCTGGTGGTGACCTTTCTGGCACAGCCTCTCCCAGCCTGCTTGGATAGTCCCTCAGGTCAGCTCTCAGATGGCAGAGTCAGCCATCAGCCCACACCATCCAACCAGCCCCAGCCTCAGAACCAGACACCCTCACCTTTCTTCTGTCTCCTCATCATCCTCCAAGCAAAGAGTGAGGTCACCAGCAGGAGAAGCAACAGCACCGCAGAGATGACCGGAAGGAGCACACTGAGACCCAGAACATCACCGCCTCCGCGGTTGCCGCTGTCGTCACCGCTGTCACCGCTGTCACCGACAGAACTAGAAGGAACAGGCAGGAGACATAAGTATCCAGGCCTGTGCTTCCCATCCTCTGAACCGAATCCCAACCACCTGGTGGCAGAGGCAAGACCAACACCTTATGGCCTGCAGAACTCTGGTTTCCAGTCAGGGAATTCTCATTCTGGGTTCCTTCAAAGCCTGTGTCTAGAAGCCTCGCAAGAACTGCCCAACCAGAGGCTTGAGTAAGGCTTCCCAGATCCTAGGCAGGCCCTCATTGGTTCATTGGTTTTGTTTTTTAAAGACAGAATCTTGGGTAGCCCAGGCTAACCTCAAACTCAATATGTAAATGAGGACAACCTTAAACTCCTGACTTTTCTGCCTCTGCTTCCCAAGTGCTGGAATTACAGGTGCATACCAGCACTTCTTACAGAGAGAGAAATTTGAACACATATAGGGAGAAGCCATATGACAGGGCCAGGAACTGAAGTAACACAGTTACATGTCAGGTCCATCCACATTGCTGCCAGTTGGGGCTGGAGAGGTGCTGAGTGGTTAAGAGTTCTTGCTGCTCTTGTAGAGAACCTACTTTTCATCCCCAGTACCCGCGCATGGTAGCTCACAACTTTCCAGTTCCAGGGGATCGGAAGCCCTCTTGCGGGCTCCAAACCCGGGTTACCCGTGGGTACCCAGACATAGATGTAGGCAAGTGCTACATCTTTATTTTAGAAAATAAAAATAAATATTTTCTAAAAATATATAAATAAAAAAAAATCATTGCTGCCAGCCATAGAGGCTAGAAGAAAGTCTTGGGACTGATTCTCACTTTGGTACCGGTGGCTGGGTTTGAAGATGGGTCTCTAAGTGAGGTCATAGGGACGGGCTTTAATCTAACACCACCAGTATCCTTATAAGAAAAGGCGGACTGGGGAGATGACTTAGTCAACAAAGTAGTTAATTTACAAGTATGAAGTCCTGAGTTCAACCCCTAGAACCCACATTAAGAAGCCAGACATGGTGATGTGCTCCTGCGATTTTGGTGCTGGCAAGTGGAGACAGGAGAAACCCCACCCCCACCCCCAAGCTTCCTGGTCAGCCAGGCTAGACTGCTTGGTGAGCGCCAGCTAATGAGAGACTCTGACTCAAAAATAAAAATTAAAATTAAAAAGACAACACCTGAAAAACGACACTGTAGGTTGTCTGGACCACACACGCGCACACGAACACACGGTGGGGGGAGGGGGCAATCATCAGTTACTACTAATTAAAAGCCATTTGGAAGGCCATGGAAATAGCTCTGTAATAGAGCACTTGCCTAGCTGGTGTTGAGGCCCCGAGATCAGTCCTCAACACTGCAAAACAGGAACAAACCAAAGTCTCAAAACAGAGTGCAAAGCAGGGAGAGGAGTGAAGGAGTTCATTGATAGGGGAGTTTAGCCAATCACATTCTGTCCATGGGGTGTGTTGCCCTAAGGCAAAAATTTACCTATAAACCTGGCAGTGCGCTTCCCCACCCTCTCTCACTTGGCCCCTGCGTTCTGGGACAGACCTTTGGGACTCTGGTGTAAGTTTTCCTTCTGTTTATTAAAGCTGTATTTTTATATTAAGCTAGTCTGGCTGATCTTTAATTACCGATTGACCGCGCCCCTTCAGTTCCTGATGGAAGAAAGACTGGAGATCTTCCATGAGGCTTTGTGGAAAGGACTGCAGTAGGGGCCCTTGGATGATACAAAAGCACAGTCAAGAGCCTGGACAGATGGCTCAGTGGTTAGGAGCACTTACTACTCTAGCAGAAGGCCTGGGTTTGATTCCCAGCACCCACATGGTGGTTCATCACCATCTCTAACTACAGTTCCTGGGGATCCAACTCCCTCTTCTGACCTCTGAGGACACCAGGCACACACAGCGGCACACAGACAAAAATGCAGACAAAACCCTCCTATATAAGATACATTAATTGATTAATTAAAAATAAATAAATGCAAAGTTATGAGAACAAAGAGAGCAAAAACTAGAAACGAGAAGCGGCCTCTCAGATTCAAGAAAGTTCTTTGATTGCAGGGGTCTGGGCAGGTTGCTAAAGAATAAGCCAGGTTCTGGTCTTGTTTTAATAAAAGAGGGGGGATCAAGATCCACAGAGAAAGCCATCTAGTCTGTTTCCACTTCTGTCAAATGGATACCTTTGTATGTATCCATCCCTTTCATGGAGTGATTGTAGGCTGGGCCAAAGGTAACTTTAGGGGGGACTGAGGATATAGTTCAGCAGGAAGAGGTCTTGACTAGCATGCATGAGGCTCTGAACTGAACCACAGGCTAAAGTAGGATATGGGGACCTGCACCTGTACTCCTAACACTCAGGATAGAGGCAGAAGGACCAGAAGTTCAAGGTCAACCTCAGCTCCACGGTGTATTCAAGGTCAGTCTGGGCTGCAGGAGACTCTGTGGCGGGGACAGAAAATGAAAAGGAGGGAAGGGGAAAGAAATCCCTTCATAAGCTGCCTCATGGTCTAGAGACATTGAGGACCTACCAACATCACCAATATCACGGTTCTTATTTTAACAGTAATTCAATTATTGTGTGCGTGTGTGTGCGCGTGTGCACGTGTGCGTGTGCGTGTGTGTGTGTGTGTGTGTGTGTGTGTGTGGTGTGCATGTATGCATGTCCTCAGAGGCCAAAGAGGGTATTGAATCCCCTGGAACTGGAGTCACAGATGGTTGTGACCGGCATTTGAATGCTGGGAAATCAAACCCAGGTCCTCTTCACTGAGCCATCTCTCCAGCCCCCTTAACATCCATTTGAATAGCTCTAGGGAATCAAATCCTCCACAAGTTCTCCGTGACCTCCTAGAAGTTGGACCAAAAGCCATCCCTGTGGCCTGACAACTCTCTCTCTCTCTCTTTCTCTCTCTCTCTCTCTCTCTCTCTCTCTCTCTCTCACACACACACACACACACACACACACACACACACACACACACACACACCAGCTAGCCATGTTGCTCTTGCTGACTTCCTATGAATATCTCTTTCCCACCGAGCACTACTTCCATGTCCCTAGAACCCAACACAGGCCTACCAGAAAGAAATTAGCTCCCGTTAAAATAGGATAAAAGAATGAACAAATGGACCAACAAACCTATGAACTACCCTCTGTTCCAGGATGAGGGCTCACTGGGAGCTAAAGGCAAGTTGAGGGGGCCAGCATCCTTAACTCTACAGATGGAGTCTGAGACTTCAGAAACTCCACCATTAGAAGGCTTGGGGCTAATCGAACCACGGAGGACAGCATCATTCAAACTGGCTTACCTGTCATCAGAGTAGCTGGTCATCGTTGAGAACGTGGTGGTGTTTGTAGCAACGATCTCTGTGAACATGGTGGTGGTGGAGGTGATGGGGAGCGTGGTCAATACTGTAGTGGGTGCTTGGCATAAGACAGATTACAACGCTATTCCAATCACCCATCACAGTCTGCTCTTGCTCTGAGCCTGCGAGGGAGTGCGGGCCATCCCAACCCGAGGACTCTGGAGCAGGGCTGTGGCAAGCAGCTATAGCTGAACCACTACTATCCTCTTGACCTCTAAGAGAGCCCAGAGCCTCTGAGGCAGGTAGGACTGGGCGCAAGTCCAGGGAGGATGGTGAAACCCTGGAGGGAGCCAGAGAGAGCCTCAGAACAAGGCAGCTGAAACCCAGCTGAACACCCCAACTGCCTTGACAGTGCCTCAGCCAACACTTCCCCCTTGCTTTATCAGACAAGGACAGGAACAGACAGGGAACTTGAAAAGTGGCTAACATAACCTAGTTTCAAAACTTCTAAGGTCATGGACATACTGCGGGGGTGGGGGTGACAACTAATATTGGGGCTGGAGAGATGGCTCAGCAGTTAAAAGCACACAATGTTCTTGCAGAGGACCCAGGTTCAGTTCCCAGCACCCACATGATGGCTCATCACCATCTGTAACTCCAGTTCTAGGGTGTCTGATGCCCTCCTCTGGCTTCCACAGACACCTGACACACATGTGGTGCACATGCATGCATGCAGACGAAACACCTGTCTATATACACAAAAGAAGTAAAAATCCTTTGATAGCAAAAAGAAAGTCCTAACAGTCAGAAAGATACTTGGGACAAGTTAAGTTTCAGTAATGGAGATACCCTTTTCCAAGGGTATTATTGAGGTTCAGCAAGATAATGCAAGCTTTGCGCCATACTGAACCTCAGGGAGTCCTGGAGACGGTAGCCCTGCCTTCATCTACCATCTGCACTCTACAAATGCCCTACGACCTGGTGTTAGCAGCCTGTCTGGGGGTGGCAGAGCAGAGCTCAAGAGAGAAACCTCTCCAAGCCAATGCATGAAGACCTCAGAGCTGACCCCACCACCACTACCACCATAAGTTTCTGCATTCTGGAAGCACTCACAAAGAATACCGTTAGGCTAAAGGCACAAATGGGCTCCTCGGGAGACTGCAGACATCAGAAAGGCAACTGTGTGCAAAGGCCTTTCTAGACCTTGGAAACTGGATCACCACACCCCACCTAGGCTGGGACGATTTCCCTCAGGATCGATAGAGTGGGGGTGAGCACAGCACCAGGTGGTGGCCCCCTGAGCTCCTTGGAGAGCCGGGTACCTCCCATGGGACTCCAGGAAAGCGTTAGCCGGAACTGGAACTCCAGGGGCCACAGACAGTGGTATCTTTGGCCTATGAGCCAGAGCTGGGGACAACCACCCCGCCCTCTCTTGGCCACAGACTAAAGATGGAGCTGTGCAGAGAAGAGGAAGGGAAGCGCCTGGAAGGCTGGGAGTCGGGAGGTGTTTAAGAGAAGCCCTGTCCCAACCCCAAGCAGTCTATCAGGGGTGTGGGGGACTTCAGGTCTCTACCTCCTGCACAGTGCAACAGCTCATGAGTGACAGCTAATTCCTTTAGGTGAGACTCGAGGGACAAAAAAGGGCATCTGAAGAGATGTACACACACTCTTACCTGGGCCAATGTTCACATTAACTTTAAATTTGTGATCAAATCCAGTTCTCTCAATCCCACACCAGTAAACGCCAGCGTCGCTTATCCTCAGCTCCTCCATGGTCACTGTGACGACGAAGTCTGTCTGGTCATCCCTGATGGACACACGGTCCTTCTTCACCAGCTGCTCCATATCCGTTTTAACCAGAGTCTCACATGCGCTCCAATCAGCTCCTCGGCACCAGTACTTCATGTAATTCTTCCACTTGGAGTGATAACGGCACCGCACAGTCAAGGAGCCCCGCTCATGACCGCTCACCATGTTTGGACCTGTGATTGCATTCTGAGCGGTGGAGCAGCCTGGAAAATACAAACCCGTGGACCACTGATCTCCCACTCCAAGGGCATACAGTCCCAGTTCCAAAAGCACAATTAACTGAATAGTGGTCAAGAGAACACCCCTTCTCCAAGACAGGCTGCCTGCTGTCCCTCAACATCCAGCTGAGTCAAGAGGAGCCAGAAAAATTCTTGAACAATTACAGCTCTCAAAAAAAAAAAAATGACCAAGCATGGTGGAGCAAGACTTTAATTCCACCACTCAGTAAGCAGAGACAAGCAGAGAAAAGTCCCTGAATTCAAGGCCAGCCTGGCCTACAAAGCAAGTTCCAGGACAGCCAGGACTACACAGAGACCCTAGTATGGGCAAAGCCCTGGGTTCATCCTGAACATCTGAACATCTGCCCTCCCTGCACCATATAAGATGTGTGTGTGTGTGTGTGTGTGTACACATATATGTATATATACATACATATATATAAACATGTATATAAACAACATATAATATATAAACAACATCCAGGTGGTACTGCCAAGTGTGGTGCTGCTAGGTGTGGTATTGCCAGGTGTAGTGTTGCCAGGTGTGGCACCAACAGGTTTGGTGTTACCTAGTGTGGTGCTACACACACCTAATCCCAGCAGTCAAGAGGCAGAAGCAGGAGGATCGTGAATTTAAAGCTAGCCTGGGCTACGTAATGAGATTGAGTCAAAAACCACTTACTCTACCTCACTTCTTTATACCAAATATGAATACATATGTGTGTGCACTTATGGTGTATAGGTGGGGGCACATGTATGTTTAATGCATGAGACTGAGTTAATGAGCACACAGCAGAGGAAAACATGAGTGTCTTGTTTTATCATTCTCTGCCTTATTCTTTTTTAATTGACTTTTATTTTATATGTATGTGTTTTGCCTGCCTCTGTCTGTGTACCACATGAATGCCTGGTGCCTTCAGAGGCCAGGAGAGGTTGTCAGGTCCCCTGGAACTGGAGTTACAGATGGTGTGTGCCATTGTGTGGCTGCTGGGAAATGAGCCCTCTGCAAGAAAAAGTACTCTTAATGGCTCTAACCCCTGCCTTATTCTTAGAGACAGCCTCTCATTTGTGAGTTCCAGATGGATTTTCCATCTGCCCCTTTGACCTGTGTCCACCCTATGCTGATTCCACACCGTCCTGCCTTACAGTGTCTCAACTGAGAAGGGTTTCTTCTGAAGATGCATGTTGTGTTCCTACCTTAGAAAGATTCGGAGGACACTGAAATGTTTCTTTACAAGAATAAGTTTGGGGTGCTAATAAGATGGCTCAGTGGGTAAAGGCACTGTGTTGCCACCAAGCCTGATGAGCTGTGTTTATCCCTAGGACCCACATGGTAAAAGGAAGAACAGACTCCTGAAAGTTGTCCTCTGACCTCCACATCCACAACCACTCACACAAATGCCCCCAACACACACGCACACACAACACTACACACACACACACACACACACACACACACACAACACTTCACACACCACCACCATATACACATAAACACAAATAAATGTAAAAAACAACAAAGACCCATGCTCCAGGCATGGTAGTACATGCCTGTAATCTTAGCACTTCTAGAAGCCAGTGTGAACTATGCAGCAAGTTCAAGGCCAGCCTGGACTATGTAGGGAAACCTTGTCTCAAAAAAAGCAAGAACATGGGGACTGAGTGTGTAACTTAGTTGTTAGAGTGCTTGCTTGGCATATGTGAGGTCCTGGGTTCAATCCTCCCAGCCTGGAGGAAGGTGTTGGACTGTTTGTTAGACTGTTGCACATTTAAAGCTGGGATCTGTCTTGTTCTGCCTTTAAAATTGATACATAATTCACACACAGTGACACACCCAGCCCGGTGGTTTTTAGGACCTCCACAGCTTTATGACCATCTCTGCTGTCTACCTCCAGAACTTCTTCTCTTTTTGCAATAATTTATTTAATTGTATTTTATGTGTATTGGTGACATAGGGTGTCAGATTCCCTGGAACTAGACCTGGATCCTCTCTAAGAGCAGTCAGTGCTCTTCTCCCCTGAGTCACCTCCCCAGCCTGAGAATTCCTTTTCTTTTGCCGGTATGAAGACCTGTCTCACACCACTGACAGCTGCATCCCTGGGTGCCTGTCCCGCAGCGCTCTCGCCGCTAACCCTGATCCCCTTCCTGGCCCCACGGACTCACCTATCTGCACATTTCATATAAAATACATCACACAGTGTACAGTGGTAGATGACTTCTTCTCGCCACATTGCGCATTTGAGGTCCATCCATACCGTAGCCTGTGTCACTAATATTTCAGTCTGGTTTTAACAGGGTAATGTTTTATGGTATGGGTGTGCCATGTTTCATTGAAGCATGAATCAAAATGGATGGGTCAGACATTTAGATTATTCCAACCTTTTAGGGAGTATTAATATTGTTATCATGTCCATTTGGATTCTTAGCTTTTACACGGGTGTGTGTTTGCAGTTCATTTTGGTCATGTGACTATACCATACCTAACATTCTGAAGAGCCATCAAATTGCTTTCCAGAGCCATTGCACATGTCCATCAACTATATATACATCGTCTGCTGTTATTTGTAAGAATCTTGGGAGCTGGAGAGATGACTCGGAGACTAAGAGCACGCATTGCTCTTGCAAAGGACCCAAGTTCAGTTCTGAGCACCCACATCAGGCAGCTCACAACAGCCTGTAACTCCAACACCCTCTTCTGGCCTCCCCTGGCATCTGCACACATGTGCACACTCTCTCTCTTTCACACGCACACACCTCACAGTAAATAAAATCTTTAAAGAAAAGATAATCATCTTAGTTGTTCAGCTCTAGAAAGGCAGACATCGGGAAGAGCAATGTTGAAAACAAGTACTGTAGTGGACACATTCATTCCTGCAGCTACTGCTTGCTGTTTGCCTGAGTTGTACCCACTATGGCTTTAGGGACAAAGGTCTCTGCCCTCTGGGAGCTTCCATTCTACTAAGATGTGGGAGGGAGGCACAGACCATGGCAGGGGTGGGGTGGGTGGCTGGGGAGACAGCACAAGGGACTCGGTTTGTTTGTGTGTGCTTTCCTTTTGAGGCAGAGTCTCAGATATTCAAGTCTTGGACTCTGTAGGTGAGGATGATCTAGAACTCCTTTTGTCTACGCCTCCTGAGTGGAGTGGGCCAAACCCCAGAGGAACAGCAGTTTTAATTAATTTATTTAATTTCCCCAGTGAAAACCACGGTGAGAAATGAAGACAGGAATGAAGTGAGGAGCCTGGGACCACCTAGGGAAGAGCACTCAGAGCAAACAGGACAGAAAACTCTGAGGCCAACAAACCTAGTGTGCTCAAAGCCATGTGGGGAAGGGAGCTGAACCAGGCAAGGATGCAAGGGAGAAAAGGGGGGACCGGGAATGCTATGCAGAAAGGAATCAGATGGTGAGTACCTAGTAAGCCATCTGCAAGGATTTAGGATTTTAATTCAAAGTCGGGGAGGAGGTCATTGGAGATGGACGCCCCAGGTTTGGCCTGAGTACTAAGAAAATATGGAATTGCCAAACACTAAGACAGGAAAGCTCAGGGAAGACAGGGATCTGGGAAGATTTGATCAAGCTGTTTAAAATCTTTCTTTCTTTCTTCCTTTCTTTTCTTCTTTCTCTTTAAGTCGGGGTCTTACTATGCCTGGATTTCTTTCTTTTTTATGTGCATGTGTGTGTGTGTGTGTGTGTGTGTGTGTGTGTGTGTGTGTGTGTTTATGGGTATGTGCATGTGACTGTAAGTTCCCACAGAATCCAAAAAGGGCATCAGATCCCCTGGAGCTGGAGTTACAGGCAATTGTGAGAAACCCAATACTGGGGGCTAGGACTCAAACTTGGCTCTTCTGAAAAAGAAACAAGCCTTCTTAACTGCTGGGCCATCTCTCCAGCCCCCACATTTGAAATGCCAGTGTCTAAATACGAAAGCTGAGTACACGCTTTGCTGTACGATTCTAGAGTCCTGGGAAATGCCTGCACTAGGGGTGTAAAATTGAAAGCCTTCTGTTGATACTACTTCAAACCAAGAGAAACATCCCAACGGCATGGTGGAAACCACCAGAATATAAAACAAGAAAACCCCTTTTGTAGTCTGCATGCACCAGAGCAGCGGATCTCAACCTTCCTAAGACTGCGGACCCTTTAATACAGTTCCTCATGCTGTGGTAACTCCCAACCATAAAATTATTTTTGTTGCTACTTCATAACTGTAATGTTGCTCCTCTTATGAATCATGATGTGAATACTTTTGGAGATAGAGGTTTTTCAGCAGGGTCGCAACCCACAGGTTGAACAACTGTAAATCTATTTATACTGTAACATTAGCCGCAACAACCAAGCCACGGTCCAAAGTCCGCTGACAGGTGAATGGATAAATATATACACGATTATGTCGGCAAGAAAATATGTTTAACTGGCGATCAGCTTGTTAAAAAGAATAAGCCAGATTCAAAAAGACAAATAACACGTTTCCCCTGATATGCAAAAATCTAGACTTTTTTTTTTTAACAAAATAGACATGAAAGTGGAAGGGGCTGTTTAGAAAGGGAGGGAAATCAGCAGAACTGGAGGAGAAGACAAGAGAAAACCGTGGTCCAAGTACCTGATATACACACATGAAAAAAAAATGACACGATGAACCCATTATTTTGTGCGATTTATTACAAGATGGACTCTCATGGTACATCCCTAACTAGCCTGGAGTTGGTGTGTAGACCAGGCAGGCCTCGAACTCACAGAGATCCATCTGCCTCTGCCTCCCGAGTGCTGGGATTAAGGGCGTGAGCCACCACACCTAGAGCTGTATCACTGTGTTCAATAGAAAATTCTCTTCGTTTGAAATCAAAACTGTATCCATCCACTGAGAGCTTTGTCGGATCAAGAGTGATGACGCAGCCTATAACCCCAACACAAGAAAACCACCTTCTGCAACCTAACTCTGTCTGCTACTGTTATTAATCATAATGAAAATCTTTTTGGAGACAGAGGCTAAGGCAGGAGGGTTACTAGTTTAAGGGCCAGCCTTGGCTACATAGAAAGCGGACCCCATTACAAAACACAAGAAATACACCAGAAAGTGGCTGCCAGCCCTCCCTGGGGCTTGTCTCCTGCCTCCTCTTCACCTTTTTCAGGCCCTCCGCCGTTTCTGCCGTTTTCTTCCGTCCCAGCTGCCGTCAACCACCCCTCCATCTGTTTTGTATATCAGATCCCCTCTCTCCTTCCCTCAGGCCCCTACTCCCACACTCACTTCTTCCCCACAGCCTTCCCTTGAAGGAGCATGGTCATGAGATGACAGCCCAACCCCCTCATGGATTCTCCTGAGCAACCGGGCTCTGCCGTCTTTCCAAGACCAGGGGGGCCCGTTAGGGTGTCAGCCTTAAATATGATCAACCCCGCGCACGCGGTGGTCTGGAACTGCGCCTGGGGCTGAGTTTAAAGGCTCAGTGTTTCTGTCACGATGACCCCACAACAACGGGTCAGTATGTGAATGAGACCTTCTTGCCGGGCTCCCTGGTTCCAGAGAGAAGCACTTCCTCTAGTTGCTGAAGTATTGGCAGCAATCTGCGCGCTCACCTGAGATCCAGGAGAGGACGAGGACCAGCAGCGCCAGGTGCATCTTCTCACGCCCCTCTGCCTTGGTGGAGCCTGTCTGCGAGGACAGGCTACATGCTCCACTCCTGCGTCTCCTGGGTACTCCGATTTCCCTCACTCACCCTGGCACTTCCTCCTTCAGCCACTTCCCACTGGTGAATAAAACCAAAAGAGGAACGAGGTAGAGCGAGTGAAATGTAATGCAAGAAGTCGGTTTTGAGAAACACCTCCCTGCCCAGAGCCAGAGCGACTTCTCTGAGAAGAGAACCGGGGGTCTCCTGCTCTGTATACACAGATCCCGTGATTCGAGCGCAGAAGACCAGAGACTGAAGGGTAGCCGCAGAGAGATTCTAGAACAGTCAGTCACTGGAATGGAGGAAGTTGAGCAGGTGTCAAAACCCAGCCTCGTCAGTGGTGTTGGGGCACAATTGTAGGTCCAGAATTCAAGGGGCAGAAATGGGGGGAGGAGGAGCTGAAAGTTTGACAAGAACCTTAGCTACATAGTAAGTTGAAGGCTAGCCAGGGCTGTATAACAGCACCTGTCTAAAAAAAGGGAAGAGGGTATTGTTCAGGAGCAGAGCTCCTGCCTAAGGTAAGCAAGGCCCTGAGTTTGATCCGCAGCACCTCCAACCAACCCCTACAAAATTGCAAAGAGAGGGCCTCAGGTAATTAGGATATATGAACAGGAATCTACCCACCCAGAGTCGTGAAGGGGGGCGGGGTTCTGCTTTGAGAACACTCTGGCCAATCTGCCCCAGCCTACTGGATAATAGATAGGTTAACCCAAATTCCCCAGAACTTTAGTGAACACCCTGTGGCTACCCCACCCCCAAAGAAACCAGTTTGCTATTCATAACTCCTAAGCCTCGCTCCCACACCCTCTTCAAAGTATCCATTTGTCCAAATCCGAAGGGAACAAAGGCCAGCCTTGAGATCTCTCTCACACACACCCCTTTCCAGAAAGCCCTTAGAGAGCAGTCACTTTTGGTAGGTGCCACACACACCCTGTGACACCTTGGCTTCACAATGCCCTCGAGCCCTGGTCAGGCTAGCCAGGTTGGAGGAGGCTTGTGGGAGGGTTGTTTACACTGAAAACTCTAACCGCTGATAAGCCACAGCCTTTCCAGGATGTGGCCAGAGATGGCCACTTACTTTACATGTTCCTAGACCATAAAGCAAAGTCAACATGGGCTCAGTGGCCATTGTTGATGGAACAGGTCTCTGCACAGGGCACTGCTCGGGTATGCTGAGGGAGATGTCCTCCGCAACACGTAGGGGATGACTTTAAAGGAAGTGATCATCAGACCAGGGGTGCCCTGAAAACCAAGGGGTGGGATCATGGAGGGTCCAGGAGTGACTTTTCCTTTCTTGGGCAGAGGAAGAAAAAACAAACAGCTGTCTGTCAGGAGCCTATGGCCAGACCCTCTGATTCTAGTTCTCTCAGATTGACCCATCCAAGATGGAGGGTGAACCTTTGAATCAAGAACACCAACTTATCCAAGGGGTTGTGAGTGAAGAGGAGAGAGTACCCCTTAAACAAGAACCTCTGTGGATTCTGAGAGAGTCAGGGTATTCAGGAGCCCCATGGCCTCAAAGACCTACTAGAGGCCCAGACCCTGGCTTGGCCATTGATTTCGGCATAACTCAGTTACCTCCCAGGCTGCCATATCCCTACTGGTGAAATGGGGCATTGAAGGTATTCACGGAGGTGCACACCTGAGGATCAGGAATTCAAGGCCAGCCTCAACCACATAGTAAGTTCCAGGCTAGACATGAGTTTCTATAAAATGGACAATTGAAGATCTCCCTGCCCTAAAGCACAGTGTTTACAAAAGGTGCATTCAAAAAAAAAAAAAAGATAAAGCTGGGCAGTGGTGGTACAGCCTTTAATCCCAGCACTTGGGAGACAGAGACAGGTAGATCTCTGTGAGTTCAAGGCCACCCTGGTCTACAGAGTGAGTTCCAGGACAGCTAGGGCTGTTACACAGAGAAACCCTGTCTCAAAAACCAAAAAAGGGAAAAAGAAAATTATGTTCACATGTGTGCACACGCAACACCCAAACCCACACATTGTATGTGTTATTTCTTGTGGAGGGAGCTGTGTATACATTTGTATTGTCTGTATGTGATAGGTAATGTTATGTACACGAGCCTATCTGTGCATATGTGTATGTGCCTATGTGTTCCTGTGCATTTGTGTGCTGTCCATAGTGTTCTTCTGGATATAAGGACACATGTTTGCCCTCTTTATCCTTTCGGACTTGAAAACTACACATGATTTTTTTGGGACTCACCCCATTCCTGTGCGGAAGCGCCCCTGACCGAGAGGGCAGTTCCTTAGTGGTGGAGAGGTTACTTACCATTTGCATAAGGCTCCAAGTCCAGATTGCATCTACCGCACTCTAGAAGTTTCACCAGAAGGTCCTGCAGAGCCAGCCAGCTGGCCCAGTGAGTGAAGGCACTTGCCACCAAGCCCGATGACTTGACTTTAATTCCTAAGACCCACACAGTGGCAGAAGACAGCCTGATTCCTGCAGACTATCTTATGACCGCCACACACACGCTGTGGTGCACACACTGCCCCACTCCCTCCCACAATGCACCAAACAAACAAATAAATAAAAATAACTTTAAAAGGAAAAAGTGTACTTTGGAGGCTAATAGCCAAAGGCTAAGCCAGGTGGAGATGCTAGGGAGATAGTTGAGCAGTTAAAACCGCAGACTGCTTTTGCAGAGGACCCAGGTTCAGTTCCCAGCACCTACCTTAGGTAGCTCACAGCTATTTGTAACTACAATTTGAGGTGATCTTACGCCCTCTTCTGGCCATCATGGGCACCTGCACTCACATGCACTACCTATACCCAGGCATAGACACATATACAAAATTAAAAACAGGGTCTTGAGAAATGGTTCAGTAGTCAAAAGAGCATGGTGCTCTTCCAGAAGACCTGAGTTTGGTTCCCAGTGTCCATGTCAAACAGCTCACAACCATCTGTTACTCCAGCTCCAGGGAGTCTGATGCTCTCTACCAGCCTTCACGGGCACGCGCATGTAGCAGTCTCTCTTTTTCTCTCTCTCTCTCTCTCTCTCTCTCTCTCTCTCTCTCTCTCACACACACACACACACACACACACACACACATACACACACGCGCGATAATAATAAATCTTTTTTTTAAAAAGCTGTTAGACTTGAAAATAACCCACAGAATTAAGTCTCTCTCAGTGACTAGAAGTGACTGTCAGCCATCCTGTCTCGGACATGTCCCCCGAATGCTGACTCTGCCGCCACAGCTGGGGCTCTTTACCCTCCTGCTTCCCTCCTCAGCTGCAGTTATCAGGGCTTCTAGAGCTTTGTCTTGTAGCCAGTGGAGCGGAATTGTCACACCCCAAACTGGATGGGGCGCATTTCAAGTCCCAAATTTGTTATTCATACTGGAAACCTTTTCCTTCAGGGGGTCCCAGCGTTGACTGCGTCAGCTTCAGGCCTGAAGTGGCTCTGTAGTTATTCTTCCCTCGGATTCACATCTTCTTACCTCAGAGCTTTCCTCTCTAAAGGGAGGGTCTGCTGCCCCTTGAGCCCATGGCAGACTCGTGACCTGTTCTGCCTGCTCTGAATACAGCAAAGAGGGATGTGTGGGGCCCCACTTCTATTAGGGCCCCATATTTCCTCCTGCACTTCCTGATTCTGCCAGGAACCAGCTGGCCTGCCGGGTGGTCACCAGAGACAAAGAGAGAACAGCTGAGCTGCTCTGTACCAGCCAGCAGACCCTAGACATGTCAGGGAGCCCAGGTGAGGGCAGCATGGTCACCAAGGCCAAGTTCTGACTCAGATTGTGCCCTTGAGTTTGGAGCAGTTCTCTGCCACATGATAGTACTGTTAGGGAAAGGCTAACCTGTCCCTGACTCCTCTGCACTCCCATCTGTCTCCCTCACAGCGCTTGCACGTGGCTCCTCCTGCCTCCCTTCCAGCAGCTCCCTCCTCACTGTTTTCTTAATGCTGTTCAGATCTCAGCCAGCCCGGGAACTGTGGAGCTCTTGCGGCTTCTAACTGAAAATAATACCTTTGCCTAGATGACTCACATTTAAGAGCACAGACTGAGCAACCATCTGTAACTCCAGTTCCAGGAGATTTAATGCCCACTTCTGGCTTCCACATGCAGGTGCACACATGTGCACATACCCGCAAGCAGACACACACATGTGCACATACCCACAAGCAGACACACACATGTGCACATACCCACAAGCAGACACACAAACACGTGTAATTAAAAAATAAAATGAAAACTTGAAAATAGCACATTTGTCTAACGTACTAAAGTAACACACTCATTTTAGGAAATAGAGGCGATGACAGGAAGAGGTTAGTTGCCCCTAATCTCGTCACCAGGAGAGATCTTTGTTTGTATTGAGATTAATAGTTCATGCATCTAATGTCTTCCTGCATGGTATGTCCCAGAATTCAGACTAACTGGCTAACTGATGTCTGTTGACAGAGGCTTCTGTCTCATCCAGTTCTGCAGATGTTCAGTCAAAGAAACACACAGAGACCTACATTAATTATAAACTATTTGGCCTATTAGCTTAGGCTTCTTATCAACTCTTACATCTTAAATTAGCCCATAATTCTTGTCTGTTTAGCCTCATGGCTTGGTATCTTTTATCAGTAAGACATTCTTATCTTGCTTCCTCTGTGTCTGGGTGACAATTGCAGACTGAGCATTTCCTCTTCCCAGAATTCTCCTGTTTTGGTCACCCCACTGTTGGAAGGAGGCTGCTTGTTTGTCCTGGCTGCCCAAAACCAAAATAATCACACAGAAACTATATTAATTAAATCACTGCTTGATCCATTAGCTCTAACCTCTTATTGGCTAACTCTTACATATTAATTTAACCCATCTCCATTAATATGTACATGGCCATGTGGCAGTGGCTTACCGGTTAAAGTTCCATCCAGTGCCTGTCTCTGGTATGGCTCCATGGCTTCTCCCTCACTCTGCTTCCTCTCTCCCAGCATTCAGCTTAGTTTTCCCCGCCTACCTAAGTTCTACCCTGCTATAGGTCCAAAGCAGCTTCTTTATTCATTAATGGTAATCACAGCACACAGAGGGGACTCCCACAACACCCTGCCTATACTTCCTTCCTGGCTACTGGCCAATCAGCATTCTATTAAACCAATGCAACTGACAAATCTTTAGAGGGTGCAAGATCATTGTCCCACAGCAGGTGTAAAGCCCACACCACCCAACATGCTATTGTCCGTCGTGAGAAAAACCGTCCTATGAAAGAAGCACCATCGGAAAGGGAAATGCTAATGTCTGGCTTCAGCAGTCTAAGGCACTGTGAGCTGTGTTGCATAGTGGAGAGGGTGCCTGGC